TCTTCATGCCTTTGCGTGAGGGTCTCCTGCAGCTGCCAAGGACAAGTGGGGACAGGGCGGTCAGGACAGCCCCGCTGCCCAGGGGCCAGGGGATGCTGCCTACTAGGGCCACGCAGCTGCCTCAGCAGGATGCGAGGGAGAGAAAACGAGAAACCCAGCGCCAAGGACCTTGGGGAGCGCTTGGGGGTCCCTACCTGGCTGTTTGCCTCCAGGGCATCTCCCAGCGCCTTCTGGTGCTGGTCTGCCAAGTCCCTCCAGCATGGCTCGGGGGGAGGCAGGCGCTGTGGGGGCATCTGTGCCAGAGCGCTGCTCTCCAGCTGCGGCGTGCAGGGGCCAAAGGCCACCTCTTCACCAAGTGAGAAATCAAAGTCAGCACAGTCCAGTGATGGTGGCATTGAGGTGGATGCATCTGGAGGGAATAGCCATAGGCGTTAAGACAGAGGAGGTTTTCACGTCCTTTCTTCCCCTCAACCCCCACACACCATCCTGGTTCTGAGCATTCCTCCAGTATTTCCTGACATGCTTTCACCCTACTGCTGAGGCTGTGCACCCTAAACCTGTTTGGATTTAACTTCTGTCTCCCATGGGGCAAAGCTGAGTGCCAGCCCAGGTCCCTCTAAGGGGGTGTGCAGGGACTTGCTGCCTTACAGACTGTCCCAGGGTTGGACAAGCGTGCAGCAAGTGGTCATTCAAAAAAACAAAAACAAAGCAAAAAAGGGGACTGACACAGTGTGACTGCTGATGTGCACACGCAGGCGTGTTTGGCTCAAGTAAGGAAAAATAGCTACTTGCCAGATATGAAATCATCAACAGCATCTCTGAACTCCTGGAAATCAAACTCCGGTCCATCCTGGAAGCAGGAACCCTGGGGGGGTGGGGAACGAAATGTGCCCGTGAGTGGGGTGCAGTGCTCAGACCTGCCCGTGCTGCCCACTGCTGCCCACACGGCACCGACACTGAGTGCTGCCTGCGCTCAGCACCTTCCCACAACCTGGGCACCCGGCCCAGGCCCGACCCTTGCCACCAGCCCATCCAACGCATGGGACAAGACACTGTCCTCCAATGCGCCCACTTCACAGG